GTCAGCCGAACATGCTGAGCATGTTCGGCTGATCCAAAGCCACACGAAGCAAGCCGATGTACGGCTGAAATCAGCCGTACCAGCCTGAAGTGAATAGCCGAACAGTGTTCGGCTCACTTCACTTCTGATCGGTCATTCAATCGGCTGCCCTCGGCAGATTTGTGAATAGACCCCATATGTTGCCAAGGTGTTACTGGGGGCAAGAGCATTGCCCCCTTTATCAGGGCTGGAATCAACAGAGAATATACATAAAGAAATGAGCCAATAAAAAGGTTACAGTCCTCATTGAAAAAAATGACTATAAATTGCAATATATAACAAGAAGATATCTAATGCTAGATTTAACTAATATGGACAATTCATAGATATATATGGTAAAATTAGGATAAAATGTTTAAAAAGGTAACCATTGAAATCATATACAGTATGGAATGTACTTGACTTTATTAATGGAGTAGTTTTTGTTGTTAGTGCTCCTTCGGTGTTTTTCTGGTTATAGCCCCAACTTAGAAACTTCTGTAAGTGTGACATGCCCAGTGTTCAAACATTCTATGGCACACTAATCTCCACCTTGGGATCCAGTGCCAGCAATCTACCTCTCTTGTATTGATACAAAAACCTTTAATAATGCTGGTTTTCTGTACAGAAAAAGGCATTCTAAGAGTGGAGTACTGTAATCTTTGTGAGAGGTAATATGTACCTGTATGTGTTACACTAATGGCCCATTTACAGTGTTTCATTATAACCTACGCATTCTGACGGCATATAACGCATGTGTCAAGGTTCCACATAATGAAGATTGTGTATGTTCCCATCGCAGTGTAGTCTTTATTTCCTGCTTTTTAGTATTATAGACGTTGATGGCAAAATTGCAACATGTGTAACATGCACTTTGATGCATTTTCATGTGTTGGCAACAAGTATTAAAAAGTCTTGGTCAGTGGCTGTTAACTCTATCCACTCCAAATACTAATTTAAAAACACTGGAAATGCCCATCAATGAATATCAATAATGCATGTCAACACAAAATGAAAATGCATGTTGATACTGTACATGACAACGCACCTGCTCCAATGCTACAAAAAATGCACCTCTACGCACATGCATAGATCTAAATGGGCCCTCACACATTACTTAGCATGCATTCACTTAACATAAAAAATGTATAGGTCCACTATACATTTCTACATTGAAAGAAAATGATTGTGTAATTGAAATGAGCATAGCTTAACTTTATCCACATTGCTTAAGTGAACATTCTCCCTTAGTACATTAACCCAATGGCTCAGGTGTGTCCTCATTGAAAACAATAGACTTAGTAACATAGGGTAACTGAGCTTATTTCAGCAACTCGGGGATGTGAATCACATTCTCTGATGTGTATATGACCACCAAACGGAGCATGTATTCGTACGGAATAGGATACAGCAATGCGAAAAAATGTGAAAATCATTGTTTAGTTATGTTCAATCAATAAAAATGCAGAAGTCCTGTCAAGCATTAAAGTGTGTGTCAAGTCGAAATAACACAAACAAACATAATAAGTACATCTCTGCAATACATGAACATTTCCCATTTTTGTATTACTTTAAACACTCTGCGAATACAGAAAACCGTTGTAGTGGCAGATATGCTCCTACCTTCCTCTTTGACATGACAACACAGCTCTGCATTCTTAAGCATGTGGTGTCAGCCCTGTCTGATTCATTTCTGATGAATTGCAAAGAACACAGACCTCTCCTCATCTCCTCCATTCCCCCTCCTCATCTCCATAACTCTTTGTGCACAAGCAGAGAGCACAGGATGTTATCAGCTCACAGGATTTCTGCCAAATTCAATGGGTGTTTTTTGCACTTATTGAACAGATATAACGAAACACCTTTGATAGTATATTTAACAGAGCAAAAGGGAGCAAATGTTAAAAGTTCATTATTAAGGTTTACATACACACACACACACACACACACACACATATATATATATATATTATATGTATAATATATAATATATTGTACATTACATTTCAGTACAAAATAATAATACACACTATGGACTTCTTGATAATAGCTTATAGTTTCCACCAAATCTCCAGCTCTTATATATTATAGGAAGATAGATTAGTGCTGTTGCCTGGACCAGCTCCAGTAACCTTTATGATGTTCGATAAATTCTGTGAGATGCAGTTAGGCTGAGAGAGCACAGTGGGTCAAACTATGCGCTGCAAACTTCTGAGAGAAGTCTGTAATGAACGTTGTGATGGATGCACAGACTAGACGGCCAGAATTTACATGAAGGCAGCAATAAAACTATGAAAATGCTTAGAAAACACACAGGAGAATTCTACGTACCGAGGAAATAAAGGAAGGACTAATTAATACTTATCTGACAAGTATTTATGAGAAATGAAGTCCCTGCAATCTCATTACGCGCTAATCTCGGTGCTGTCAGAGCAGAAGGTTGCCAGGTCGATGCAGTGGTCAGTAGGAAAAGTGGATTGTTAAGTGGGAGAGGAAGTTTGCAGTCTGGCGTATTGATGAGTGTTACGGGCTGAGAGCAGGGAGAGAAGCATTACCGATGCCGGAATCAATGTGGAAGGTGAAGAGAGGGCAAACACAGAAAAATGATGGGATGTGATTTCTTTGATTAGGATGTCATGGATGTATGAAAAGAGAAGGCACAAACCGGTAATTATTGTAATACCCTGTGGTGTGAACTAGTGTTTTCCAAATGAGAGGGAAGGGTGGACCCCAGGATCAACCACAATTATAGGATGTATCATACGTGTAGTCGGAATGACGGGAAAGGTACAGATACATATAAAATGATATTATGAAGTAGTAAAAAACTATTTATTTTCTCTCTCTCTCTCTCTATTTTTTTATATTTTATTTATTTATTCATTTTTATTAAATATTTTTTATGTTTTACTTTATTTTTCAGGGGCTTTGGGGAAATATTAGGGATCTAAACAGACCCCTAATATTTCCCTTTTAAAATAGAGAAAGAGATTGAGGACGCGTGGAGCTTGGATGCAGGCGGGTCTAACAGCGGCAAGCGTGAAGTGGGGAGGAGGTGTGGCGTGTAGAGCGTGGATGCAGGCGGGTGGGTCTAGCAGCGGCAAGCGTGAGGCGGGGAG